CTAGCTGGGTTTGTAGTGTGACCGCGGCTGAATAGTTTTCGTGTTCCTGAACGAATAATTCCGGGTTTTCGGACCTCTCGTGGACCCATAGGGAAGATAATGTGAAGAATCTCCCACCACACGGCAAACATACTCTTTCACGACCTACTGGAATACTATAGGGAGCAGCTACGACTCTCTCCACGATACATACACAAGATTCTCCCGGTGCTTGCATGCAACACGGGGACGGCGTAATCGCAGAGGAGTAGGCGCTAGGGTCAAGGTCTTTTTCAGTCGGGGTTAGGAGCGTAGTAAGAGTAGCGTCGTCAGTCTGGGTCTCTAATAAAGAAGCATTGTCATTTGTAATTACGCCCTCGGTAGCAATACGGGCGTCCAATTCGCTTTCGGTTAAAAGAGAATTATTTCTTTCAATAACGCCCTCGAATCGTTTGCGGTTGCGATTTCGCCGGCCACGGAAGCGTGATATAAATCGGGATGGGCCTTCCGCATATGCTATCTCAGGCTCGGATATGTTCCTTCCACAAGAGCAAGCACACGAGTGCTCCTCCTTCCCGATCTGTGGCTGTTCGACAAGTTTGTGGCACTCCTTCTTGTGTCTACACAACCCTTGCATGGATCGATATACTTTACCGCAAAATGAGCTAGGGTACTTAAGAACAGGTGTATCGTTGACTAAAGGGGTACCTAAGTCATCAGAACATCCGGCCTGTCTATGATGTTTGGGGATGGTGGCGTGTTTGAAGGTTTTGTCACACCCACATTTGAAGGAGTTAGAGGGAAATATCTCTTCCGCCAGGTTTATGTGGCCTGGCAGAACCTCCCCAAATGGCGGTGGGACTTTTGGTTATTGTATGAAAGCAGAACCAGGAAAAAAAAACCCTTTCCAACGAAACGTCGCGATACTGACAGGTTTCAAGGCCGGTTCCGATTTGAACGGCCCGAAGATATTAGCAGGTGCGTATCGTCCACTTTAAAACTTTTTCCGTTCAAATCGAACCAGTAATAGCCGAGTTTTGCAAAAATTGCAAGGGCGTCGCGGGCGTCGAAATGCTGGGAATGTTGTTTTCGAACACCTAGCCTCCTCCCGAATCCGGATAACATCGGCGTCGCGATGCTGATTTTTTGTGAGGATGTCAAATCGAACCTCGCCTAGCACAGCGCGAGAAAACTGATGACAACACGTATACTTCCCTTGATAATAAATTTCCGGCGCCGCTGTCATTCACGACGTCCAGAAACAAGGGAAGAAAATCTAAATTAATAATATTTTTTAATTACAGACGCTCGCTCTGTGAACGCTTTCCCTAAAAGGGCAACAAAAAAAAAATGAAATCCTAACCCAGGCGAAAGATCCCGAACCACCGAAGAGTTCCAGGAAGACGTCGGCACCTTCGGGAAACCCGTAGGGATGCCGCACATGGAGGAATAAAAATTCCCGGAAGGACAATATCTTCAGCAGGGAGCTATAAGTGAAGAATTCTTTAAATGTACCCAATGTTATTAATAAAGTACGAAGTAGCAAAAACCTAGATAATTTTTATCACTGTTATCGCCTGATATACTCCAACACGCTGGTTTTTAATTATTCGAAAATTATCCCGAACTCTTGTCAATTCAAAAAACAATTTCTCGGAAACCGTCCGTGGGATAGAAAAACGAAAATAACAGCGACAATCCTTGTCACGTGCCGCGTCTTTTAATACCCGTATAGGGCGCAGATTGAAAAACTCGATCTAATTAATTCTCGGATTTTCCCGTGCTTCTGCACTTTTAAAACTCGATATCTTGAGAAGTAAAAGGCCGGGAAGGAAAAGGAAAACACTCACGTGACCCTTGAGACGTGCCCTAACGATTAAGACCCTTTTATCAAAATCAGACACTAATCACAAATTCACACTTTGGAAATCGACGGAGCCGAGGTGAAACACGTCCGACCCCGCCGTATACCCGCGCCCGAGCGTCCGCGACCGCTGCTCCCGACCTAAGACACCACTTCCGATGGCGTGAGGGTGTCCGCGCAAGCCTAGCTCGACCAGACGTGTTTCTATTTCAGCGGCACTAGTCGGCTCAAGGCTTGGCACCAAGCCACGCCGCCACATGCGTTGTAGGCGAAATTTCGGACCGTTACCCACCGTCCCACCGGAATTTCGTCGGAACCTCCTCAATAACATCAGTTTGGAATAATTGCGAGTATAATTAATAAATATAAGATCATGTATTAACTAACTATATAATAGGAGTAAGAGATATATGGTTCTAACTCAAATTGATTGCGATGATACAAATGTTAATTTAGAAACACGCCGCAGAAATCCACTTATTTAGATTTTACTTCTTGATTCTAGTAACGACATCTAACGTTGGGATCATTTTTCCAAAGTTATTATTCACATTTTATAACTTCTTGTCCGACATTTTAAAATTGTACGTTTGTAAATAAGTTTTCGATGTTGATTGGAGTATATTAAACCAGGCCGATGAAAAAAATTATTAGCGATATAATAATAATTTATTCACAAACTCCTTAAAAAGGGTAGAAATCTTCATGTGCTATATTTAGGCTGCGGGTGACGGTAAAGGGAGTTCTTCCGGTTGGTACCTGAAGGCGGAAGGGTCGAGAAGCGAGACAGAGAGAATCGGTTGATGCCAAAGCTCTTTCTGTTCCTTATTTTGATGTCACCGAGCTTCAGTGGTGCATCCTTACAAGTTTTCTTGTTATTAGTATTGCAGTCTGTTTTGTGACTTTTTTTATATTTTACTTCCCGTTTCGTAAGTAGAGTACCCGGACAGACGTGGCCGATATTACGAGACGATAGGGATGTTATCATCTGCATGTGGTGGATTTCGCTCGTTGAGTTGTGGTATGACGTAAGGTGTAAAAAGTGAGATGGGTAGTCACTTCGGCTAACGATCCTAACCCCATTGTTATGTTTATAAATTTGAGGTTCCAGTATAGTTGCTTGAAAGATCATTAATTGGTTTCTAGATTCACAAGATGTCATCCATGGATTTTTGTGAGTACTGTGATTTCAAAAGTTAATTAGTTGCTATCTCTTAGACTGTTCTTCCCACCTTGGGAGTAACCAGTTAGAGCTATTCACCTCTTTCAATCGTTGCATATTATTGCTAATCGACGACTTATCTGTGTACCTATCCTTATTTTTTTAAATTGTATTGATGTTTGTTACTTGTTTAAAATCCATATTAATCTTAATACTTATTAAAACAAAAAAATAGAGCGTAAATAATTTATTATCAGGCAGTGCTACAAGTGTTTCGGTACAAGATTTTCTCTTCTGCACAAAGAGAACACATACTAATAAATTATTTAACCTCTTTAAAGTTTTTTTTTATTTTAATGTTAAGATTGATACCTATATTTGGGTTTGATGATTTTCAAACCTCGTTAAGTAACAACTTATAAATACTGAACTTAAATAATGTAACTGCCAAATCGTCTGCCATTTTGTCGAGCTTTTCGAAAGGTAAAGACTTACATTTGGGATTACAATAACAAATTCTATTGTATGTACACTAGGGTGATTAAAAAAAAAAATATATTTTTTTTTTTCGTGCAAAGAGGTTCAAAAGTTTCTTTTCAACGTAAAAAAATACCAGTTAAAATTTGAGCTCTTAATATTAATATTAAGACCGTCCGCATCGCGTTTTTCTATTTCCCATAAGAATAACATGGGAAAATTTTTGTTTGCACCTTCTGATTTTTATTGCTAGCCCGTCGTGTGTCGTGAAAAAAATTCAATCACATATTTTTATAGAGAATTGAACGCTCTACAAAAAGTGTCTCCTATGATTGTGCGAGAAACCTGATAGTTGAAGAGTTATTTTAGGCTAAAGTTAAATTTATCCAAATTTTGACGTTTTTGATGCATTACAATAAATTTGATGGTCTTATTGGAATAAATCACCACAAAAATTTATACACATTTTAAATTTAGTTTTTTAAACAGTAATTGTTTATAATTTTATGCTATAATAAGGCCAGTAAAACTCTTTCCGAACATTTTCAGCATCAGTGGGTTAAAAAATCATAGTCAGGTTTCTCGCAAAATCATAGGAGACACTTTTTGTAGAGCGTTCAATTCTCTATAAAAATATGTGATTGAATTTTTTTCACGACACACGACGGGCTAGCAATAAAAATCAGAAGGTGCAAACAAAAATTTTCCCATGTTATTCTTATGGGAAATAGAAAAACGCGATGCGGACGGTCTTAATATTAATATTAAGAGCTCAACTTTTAACTGGTATTTTTTTACGTTGAAAAGAAACTTTTGAACCTCTTTGACACGAAAAAAAAAATTATTTTTTTTTTTTGAATCACCCTAATGTACACATATTAAATTTCGCGTGTTGATGACGTCATGAGTTACTCGGTGTCATTCCAATGGAGACAACGTTATTCAAATTTTTCTTTCAGTTCTACAAACTTTGATTTAAAACTTTTGTAGTTACTTCTGCAGGAAAATCAACATGTTTTACTTCCTTTTAGGTGTAACGAAAATATTCAAGCACTTCATCATTTATCCTGCAGTGAACTAGGTAAGTACTTTTGTTACTCAAAAAATCGAAACATTATTTTCGACGTAAGACTGTTACCTTATTATTCCTCTGTACTGATTTTAAGAGTGCTCCAAAAAGGTCGTTACGTTTGTGTTTTTGCGGAAACCATAATATTATGGTGTGTGTGTGTTTATATTAGCCTTTTCGACATGCACGTGTGGCAATGAGCTTACCTGTTTGTTTTTCCATGTTTGCCCCTATATGTCCACTGTTCTGTGGGTACTCGAAGTTTAAGGTTATGTACCAGAGGGTTTTAATTGTCAATGACCGATATTGGCGGTTTTAGTTTGTGGGGTTAGGTGCGTCAATGTGGTTTTTAATTTTTAACTCTTTTTTAACTGTTTTCGAACGAGATTTGGGTAAGAAGACGGCCAGTTCTCTTCCATAGCGTGATGAAATGGTTTTAGGTTGCCAAAATGTCAGCTCTAGAATACTATGAAATGTTCGGAACATGTGGGAAGTCTTCATGGAAAAATGTTCACAAATGTAAATTATGCCCCCATTTTACAACTGTCCCTACCCTTATGATCAACCACGTGAGACGACACCGTTTTCCCGTGGAACAATTTACTTGCGACAACGCCAAAATTGAAGCTTGTTATTGTAAAGATTGCGATTTTAAAACGGAACTAACAGTTTTGTTCAAAGAACATATTAATAAATATCATGGGCTTAAGAGAGAAACTAGAGACGATTTATTAAGTGAGGACCTCTACATACAAAATTACGTCTGCGAAAAATGCGACTTTGAAACAAATCTCTCGTTGAAGTGGCTTCAGCATACGTTAACATGCACGAGAAATAAAGAAAATCATCAAAGTGTGACTTCTTCGTCACAGAATGACACATACAGTTTCGATTTCAAGCGAACTGACGAAACAAGTTGGTATTACTGTGTGCAATGTTCCTACAAAGCTAAACTCAAAGGTACTTTAAAATCTCATATTATGAGAAAACACGAGATGAACAAGCATTATGCATGCGAAAAGTGTCCATTTAAATGTAGATGGAAGTCACTTTTAAAAATACACATAAATCGAATTCACTTAGATGAACATGATGTTGAATGGCACAAGTGCAACAAGTGTGGATTCAAGGCCAAAGCAAAAAGTAATTTAACGAGCCATGTAAAAAGACGTCACTTGAACGATGAAGACGTTAGATGGTATAAATGCAATGAGTGTCTTTTTAAAACTAAAGCTAAAAGTGATCTAAAGAAACACGCAATTAGAAAACATCTAGACGAAGAAAAAATTAACTGGCACGAATGTGAACAATGCCCATTTAAAAGTAAATGTGCGTGGGATTTAAAAAGGCATATTGTTTTTAGACATTTGGATGAAGAAAACGTTAAGTGGCATCAGTGTCATTATTGTCCATATAAGGCGAAATCCAATGCTATTTTAAAGTGCCATATAAATCATCGCCATTTGGATGAAACTGAAATTAAATGGTACAAATGCAATGAGTGTCGTTTCTAACTAAGTATAAAGCTTGTTTAGAGAGACACGCAGATTCAAAACATCTAGACCAAGAAAAAATTAACTGGCACGGATGTGAAAAATGCTCATATAAAACTAAATATGCGTCGGATTTAAAAAGGCATACGATTTTGAGACATTCGGATGAAGAAAACTTTAAGTGGTATCAATGTGTTCATTCATTTAAGACGAAATTCAATCCTACATTAAAGTGCCATATAAATAGCCGCCATTTGGATGAAACTGAAGCTAAATGGTACAAATGCGACCACTGCCCTTACAAAAGTAAAAATCGTTCATCTTTTTATTCGCACAGAAAGAAACATATTGGGATTTAATTAACCATAAGCCGGAAAGGAATTTTAATTTGTATACATATGTTGTTTGTTTAGCCACTACTTATTTTAACCATTTATTCAGTCGTCTACAATGTACTATGTTATGTGACTTGGTTTTTTCATTAAGATCATAAATTAAAGCTCTATTTTAGTTACATTAAATAAATGTAACAGTTTTAAAAAATAAAATTGCATTAGTAGAACACATAGACGCAAAGTTTGTTACGCAATTACAAAATAAGGAATTATCATAACATTTATTATTGTTTCAATTTAGGATCTAAATATCTTGGGTCTCCCGAGGAACACAGAGAGTGGATGGGCCTTGTTGACGGGTTGCCTTAGGGACGCAGCGAGGTTAATTAGTGAACACTTAACGTGTTGTTTCTTCAGATCAGGCTGCTTTTTTTCTGCTTCCAATTCTTAAATGATATCTTGAGTCTGGACCAGGTGTTCTTTATTTAGTGTTTATCGTTTATGTATTTTTGGTGGCGCCAAATTTGCCGCCATCGGACTAGAGTATCTGGCCCTAAGCGGTCGTGTTGTTGTTCTTCTATGTGTCAGTGGATTTTGTTTTGGTCTCTATGTACATACCCGATTTGAATTGGTTTCTGGTCGAGCGGTTTTTTTAATTTCCTGTTTTGGCTTTTCTTTCTTTGATCCTGGAAATTGTCCCTTCAATTGTTCTGTATATTGTGCTTTGTATCTAAGACGATTGACACATTTGTGTATTAGAAACTTGACAGTATTTTTCCCATTCAGAATTCAAATTTTCTTCTGATATTTGCTAGTGCATCTAGCTCGGTTCTCTTTATATGTATAACTTGGTTTGATGAGCGTCCAAACTAATTAATTTGATCAGGTGATCCTTATTTGGAAAAATTATTGGAACTCTTGAGAGTACGCAAGAAGCCATTGTTTCAGTCTTTCACTTACACGAAGTTCTCCATGTTTGTCTATAATAGATATAAAATTGACAGTGTGTTCAACTTTTTATTTACCTTCTTTTTTCGTAGTTTACTTAAGTCTTGTCTTGAACACGTCTTCTTGTATGTGTATTAGAATTTGCTTGGTTTCTTTCCACAACTATTGTCCAACTTATGTTTTTTGTATCGGCATGACGCGAACTGTTTTCATGAGTAAGAAATATCTTGTTCTCACTTTGAGTGACCGAGTTTGATTAAATAATTTCACCTCTTCGGATAACCGCGGTAACTGGTTGGTTTCTCTCTTGGTATACGTCCCATTTTGCCGACAATCCAGGTCCTTGGCATCAAATTTTCTATTCTCTTAGTTTCGATTGTTCTGTTTCGCTGGAATCTTTTTTTCGTGGTTTTCTTGGCATAATTTTTCATTACTGAGGATATGTCGCGATGCTGATGTCTCTTCGAATTTCCCCAATTTTGCAGTTTGCTGATCTTCTGTTTTTGTGATCATACTTTTTATATTCTTCTGCGTCTAGTAATACATCAGTTGCACCCTTTTTTGGAAGACTGGATCCTCTTGATGCAAGTCTGCTTCACCGGTAGATAGATTTCGATGTTTTCTTCTAGCACAGATTGTGTAATTTTTGGTAATACTAACAGTTCTATTTTGAGTGTAAAATTACTCGGAAATCTTGGACAGCATTCTACAATTATTTTAGAGTGCGTTTTGTTTGGTGTTGCGTCTGGCCAACTTTTCCTGGGGCATTGTTGAGAGTTGCTTCGGCATTATTAATTATTACTTGACATTTTCGTACTTAATTTCACTCCCTTTCCCTTTAACTTAAATATCTAGCATTAAATTTACAATATTTTTAAGTAAAATAAGTTTCTTGAATAATATACATATCTTACCTACAGCTTGGTTCACACATCTTGCTACTGTATTGCTAGCTGTCCTTTCAAGTTGGTTTGTAGTCAGTAAACACGGTTTTCCTGGAAAACGGATTCCTGAAAAATAAAATCGTAGGTTCATGAAAATGAATTTTACGCCAGGTAAATCCGAATTTTGTCCCACACACAATAGACAGGAAAAACCATTGTTGCAGTGATAGCACTTTAGCCATGAAACTAAAATTTACATTTTAGAAAGCTGCAGATGTGTAAAAACTAAAATTTATTTCAACTTAAAAAGAAACCGTTTAGGCTAGATAAATTTGATTTTAGGACAAAATAGGCGAAAAACCACGATTTAGGCCTTTAAAAGTCAAAACAGGCAATTATGTAAAATAAAACATAGCTAGATCGCTTTGATTTGTCGAGAAACATAGATTTATTCTTATTTTTAGTTTTCTTGAATCAAAACAAAGAGGTGTTTTGCCTAAAATCCTGTCTCTAATAATTTCTTTTTTTCAATACGTTTTAAAAAATGCATATCTTGCATATTTTTCAATTTTATTGCAGAGTTACCAATTAAGTGCACATTGAAGTAAATTTTTGTAAACTTTTCAAATAGTACCTCAACTTAAAAATACCATTACATTTCGGTAGAATTCTTGCTTAGAACAACCAGTAATTAAGACATCCTAATCCGAACTGGAGACTTTCCATTTATTGGTATATTGAATGGGCTGTATCCTGCTTAAATTTATCTAAATTGTCCGTTATGTAACTCTTCAGGTAGCATCTTTCTAGCAGCTACTCATTTTGTCATTTAGTCGTTTCATTCTTAATTTTGTCAGTTCGTATTTTGGTGCTGCATGGCAAGTGAACTTCAAATCCAAAATGCGAAAAGAATTTACAAATGTCACGGCTGGATAAAAAAGAACCCTGGACTAGTGTTAATTAGATTAAAATTCTCAATATTCTTACGAAATAAACCCATAGACCACCCAGGTACGACGCCTATGGACCGTCGAGAACTTTTTAGGATAGACGGCAATGATGGGTGACTCATCATTGGTGACGCGGTTCAGCGATGTTCGAAAAGCCTGGAAGCGGAAGTCGCGAATACCTAATTCGAGAAAGACCTCGATCGTCGAAGTGTGGGTTTAAACAGAGGCCGCCTTCGGGAACGATTATTATTCAGTCAGCGAGTCCACAGCAAGTCGAGTCGAGTGAACCCCAAAGTTATTCTGTACATAATCGCTGTAATAAATAGTTAGTCGTGTAACGCCGATTTTATTCACCAATCAACGTAATAATATGTATTTTGCGGGGTGTGCTGAAAAAAGGTAAGGAAGGTATCCAAACTTTTATCATTGTTATATTTTTGAATTTGTCACATTTATTTTTCTTAGTTCCAGTTTCAAACAATTGGTTTAATCTATTGATATTTTATTGCTTTCAATTAACCGCGCGAAGTAAAGTATGCACAATATGAATTCATTTTGTTGTTCAGGTGAAACAAAGTTTTCGATAATTCAACATATTGGGACAAGTCTTCACAAAATTAAGCTGAAGAATTCTACTAATGTGAAGTCACAAAGTCTGCTCGCAGAATCTTTCTCCACCATCCAGATGATGGCAGCTTAACAAGAATATTGTTTCGAATTGTGTGAGATATTCCTTTATCACAACTGAATAACCCCAAGTTATGAGCATTTCTTAAAAAGCATACCATGAAGTCAGTTTCAGATGAAAGTGCCTTAAAAGAAAACTACGTTGACAACAGTAATAACAATAACATTTTGTATCTAGTTGAATCTTAGAAACTACACAGTCTATTATAATAAATAATAATAATTAATTAAGGGCCCTATAACAGAGATGCCGTGTTGAAATTTAGATGTGGCCCACTTCTCTGATTACGATTTTACGTTTCATTAATTTCCTTTTCATGATGGCTGTAAATGGTTGTAAAATTCAACGTTATTAGAAAACGCTAATATATGTACATTTAATTTTTTTACAAAAAAATTAAACAGTAAACAATGGTCCAATGAAAACGTGAACAACGCTTTTTAAAATGTCTCTGTGAAAATTAGACTTAACTGCAATAATTACACCGGAAGATCAGCCTTAAATCATCAAAACTAATGCAACTAAACTGCCCAATTTCAAATATTTCATATTAAAGTCACTAGATAACCAAAATACGGCAGTTCAATGTTCCAATGTGTAAGAAAGAGAAGTACCTTGCGTTGCGCGCCCTCATACGGTCACAAGACAAACGACCACTCATGAAAACGGGTCAGTAAAAATAGCGAGTTGTCTCTACTGATTGATATCTATACTGTGGTGTTACGCTGCAATTGGCGGTACCAGCGTACCAGGCGCACCTTTGGTTGCCTAGCTGTTCGGCGTCAAGAAGTCTACAATACTTACCCCATACTTCATAATGGAATTTTCGGAGTTCTACGTAACCTGGAGGTAGTCAGAGACTCCTGTGGTACGAAGACTAGTTTAGCTGGACCCAGACTTCTTGTGATCTTTGTTCTAAAAGAAACTGTGAAGCTTATAGACAAAAGTACTACACTGTGGTGTCCTGATTTGAAAACAAAATTTCACACTAAGGAAAGGAAACAAACCCAGGAAAATCCCATTTGAAAAACAAAAATTATTTTAATAATATACTCTGGTAATTAGAGAAGGTAAGAGGACATGGAATGCAAGGCATGTCAAATTTGTTACTCCTTGTTTTGGTGCGTCACAATATAGCCATGTGTTGAATTTTAACATAATGCAAACTCCGCACAGCCTCCGCGAGTATAATTAGTAAATATAGAATCGTTTATTAAGTAAGTATTTGTTTTCAAATCGAAAGTGAAGCCTAAGTTACCGTCGGAAATGTAGACAACATTTCGATTAACAGGAGATGTAAATTTACACCCGCATAATTTAAGTTAGTCAATCGCACAATTGCAACGAATACATTCGCAGTACAATCTTATCACATGAAAGAGGTCCGATATATTGCTTCGATTTTCGAATTCCTTTGGGACACGTAGCATAATAGGAGTAAGAGATATATATCTAACTCAAGTTGATGGCAATGATGCATGTGTTAATTTAGAAACACGCCGCAGAAATCCACTTATTTAGGTTTCACTTCTTGATTATAGTAACGTCGGGATGATTTTTCCTAAGTTATTATTCACATTTTATAACTTCTCGTCCGACATTTTAAAATTGTACATTTGTAAATAATTTTTCCGTGTTGTTTGGGCAATATTAAACCAGGTCGATGGATAAAATTACTCCTGATATAATATATCATTCACAAATTCCTTAAAAAGCATAGAAATCTTCAAGTGCTATATTTAGGCTCCGGTGACGGTAACGGGAGTTCTTCCGGTTGGTGTCACCGAGCGTCAGTTGCGGTTGTCAATACGATTTGTGTGAACGGATTCGTGAGTTACGCAATGTTCGGGCAGAATGGAGTGCAACGTAACAAGTTTTCTTGTTATTAGTGTTGTAGTCTGTTATGACTTTTGCTACATTTTAGTTTCGGTTTCGTAAGTAGGGTACCCGAACAGACGTGACCGGCATTACGAGAGCATAGGGATGTTGCTATTTGGCAGATTTCGCTCGTTGAGGTGTGGTATGACGTAAGGTGTAAAAAGGGAGGTAGGCAGTCACTTCAGCTAAGGTTGCTAACCCCATTGTTATGTTTATAAATTTGAGGTTCCAGAATAGTTCAAACTATTCTTCCCACTTTGGGGTAACCAGTTGGAGCTATTCACCTCTTTCATTCGTTGTATATTATCGGTAGTCGACGATTCATTTATATACCTATCCTTATTTTTTTAATTTGTATTGATGTTTGTTACTTGTTTAAACTCCATATTAATCTTAATACTTATTAAAGTAAAAAACTTTAGAGTTTAAATGATTTATTAATAGGCACTGCTACACGTGTTTCGGTACAAGAGTTTCTCTTCTGCCCTAAGAGGGTAATGTGTACCGAAATACGTGTAGCAGTACCTAGTAATAAATCATTTAACCTCTTTAAAGTTCTTTTATTTTAATGTTAAGATTGATACCTATCCTTGGGCTCAATGATTTTCATACCTGGTTAAGAAACAACTTATAAAAATTGCACTTAATTAATGTAACTGCCAAATCGTCCGCCATTTTATCGAACTATTGGAAAGGTAAAGACAAATACTATTGTATGTACGTATTTAAATTTCGCGTATTGATGACGTCAAAAGTTACTCGGTGTCATTTCTGTGGGGACAAGTTTCATGCACTTCATCATTTATCCTCAGTGGACTAGGTACTTTTGTTATTAAAAAAATCGAAATATCATTTTCGACGTAAGACTGTTACCTTATTATTCCTGAGTATTCTGCATTACTTGAACGGTCAAAGAGACAGACCTTCTAGCGATGGTTTCGGTTTTAAAAGTGCTCCAAAGAGATTGTTACGTTTGTGTTTTTGTGAAAACCACAAAACTTGACTTTATGAAATCATAAACTCCAGTTTCACACAGAAGATGGTACATTTGTAACTAACTCATAATATTATGGTGTGTGTGTGTTTATATTAGCCTTTTCGACATCCACGTGTGCCAATGAACCTACCTGTTTGTTTTTCCATGTTTGCCGCTATATGTCCACTGTTCTGTGGGTAATTGAATTTTAAGGTTATGTACCAGAAAGTTTTAATTGTCAATGAGAGATATTGGCGGTTTCAATTTGTGGGGTTACGTGCGTCAATGTTGTTTTTAATTTTTAATACTCTTTAACTGTCTTCGAACGAGATTTGGGTAAGAAGACGGTCAGTTTTCTTCTATAGTGTGATAAAATGGTTTTAGGTTGCCAAAATGTCAGCTCTGGAATACTGTGAAGCGTTCGCCACACGTGGGAAGTCTTCATGGAAAAATGTTCACAGATGTAAATTATGCCCCTATTTTACAACCGCTGTTTTCCTTATGATCAACCACGTCAGACGACACCGTTTCCCTCAGGAAAAATTTACTTGCGACAACGCCAAAATTGAAGCTTATTTTTGTAAAAATTGCGATTTTAAGACGGAACTAACAGTTTTGTTCAAAGAACACATTATTAAATATCATGGGCTTAAGAAGGAATCTAGAGACGATTTATTAAGTGAGGACTTCAGCATACAAACCTATGTTTGCGAAAAATGCGACTTTGAAACAAATTTCTCGTTAAAGTGGATTCAGCATATTTCAGCGTGCACGAAAAAGAAAGAAAATCCTCAAAGTGTGACTTCTCCGTCACAGAATGACACATACAGTTTCAATTTCAAGCGAACTGACGAAACAAGTTGGTACTACTGTGTGCAATGTTCCTACAAAGCTAAACTCAAAGGTACTTTAAAATATCATATCATGACAAAACACGAGATGAACAAGCGATATGCATGCGAAAAGTGTCCATTTAAATGTAGATGGAAATCACTTTTAAAAATACACATAAATCGAACTCACTTAGATGAACAAGATGTCGAATGGCACAAGTGCAACAAGTGTGTATTCAAGGCCAAAGCAAAAAGTAATTTAACGAACCATGTAAAAAGACGTCACTTGAACGATGAAGACGTTAGATGGTATAAATGCAATGAATGTCTTTTTAAAACTAAAGCTAAAGGTGATCTAAAGAAACACGCAATTAGAAAACATCTAGACGAAGAAAAAATTAACTGGCACGAATGTAAACAATGCCCATTTAAAACTAAAGTGGCGTCTGATTTAAAAAGTCATATGGTTTTTAGACATTTGGATGAAGAAAACGTTAAATGGTATCAATGTGTTCATTGTCCATTTAAGACGAAATCCAATGCTACTTTAAAATGCCATATAAATCACCGCCATTTGGATGAAACTGAAATTAAAATATACAAATGCGATGAGTGTTCTTTCAAAACGAAATATGAACATCATCTAAAGAAACATGCAACTACAAAACATCTAGACGAAGAAAAAATTAATTGGCACGAATGTGAACAATGCCCATTTAAAACTAAATATGCGTGGAATTTAAAAAGTCATATGATTTTTAGACATTTGGATGAAGAAAACGTTAAGTGGTATCAATGTGTTTATTGTCCATTTAAGGCGAAATTAAATGGCATTTTAAAGTGCCATATAAATTACCGCCATTTGGATGAAACTGAAGCTAAATGGTACAAATGCGAAGACTGTCCTTACAAAAGTAAAAATCGTTCATCTTCTTATTCGCACAGAAAGAAACATATTGGGATTTAATTAACCATAAGGCGGAAAAGAACTATTCAGTTCGCTACAATGTACTATGTTATGTGACTTGGTTTTTTCATTAAAATCTTAAATTTACATTAAATAAATATAACAGTTTTAAAAAACAAAAATACGTTATTAGAACACATAGCTTCAAAGTTACACAATTACAAAATAGGGAATTATTATAAAATTTATTATTGTTTCAATTTAGGATCTAAATATCTTGGGTCTCTCGAGGAACACAGAGGGTGTGTTAGTTATATGAGGCCCGTGGAACGAAAACACGAACAAACAGTTAACACATTTATTATACAAACACAAGCAAATACGAGTATACATTACAGTGAACTTAGACACACGCGCGCGGACCACCGACCAGCCATTTGTGTGACGTTCGTCTTCGTCATGGCTACGTCATCGCTGGCGCAGTCGCGCAGACTACCGCCGAACACGCACTCCATCTATGTTTCCTAACCCTTCCCCTCGTGTTAAAGGGTCGCGAGTAACCGCACTTTAGTCCTCTAGCCTAGAACACTCAAACCGCTAGCCCGCACGCACTCGACATGTTTCGATCTCGGCAGTCCTGTGGTCAGGAAATCCGACACTTGTTCTTCAGTACACACGTTGTCCAATTTCAACACATTGTCTCTTAGGACCTCGTGCACAAAGGGAGGTCAATATGTTTACTGCGCGCCTAGAAAACCGTGTTTTCCGCTAGTTTCAACGAATTTTTATTGTCACAACGAACAGTAACGTGAGAAAGTAACCCGACTTCGCTCAATTCGAAGACATTCGATTCGGGTCTCGGCACTTGATTGAATTCCCCCCTGGGTTGTCCCCTCTCTCCAGTTCTGACGACCTTAGGGCGACCGGGTCCTCGTTGTGTCTGGGGCTGCACCTGGGGTGGTTCGTCACCGTCGTCGTCGATCGGGATCGGTTCATCTCGCGTCACTTCCTCGATTTCCGCATTAATCTGAGGTGGGTTTTCTAGTATGGGATCTGCGCCTAAATTCTCGTCGACTTCTTCAGGAATCTCTCGCTCCTCGCGAGCACGAAATCTGATGTCGACAAATTTCTTCGTGTTGTTCACTTCCTCGCAACATCTATTGACTTCAATTTCGCGGGGTCGTTCGAAGAATCTTCTAAAAACTTCACGTCTCTGCTGATGATGACTTTGTGTTTCTTAAGAGACCAAATGCGATACCCCTTGTGAGAGTTGTCGTATCCGAGAAAAATCCCCTCTTCTCCTCGGGAGAAAATTTTCCGTTATCCGGTTCGCGATTCAGGTAATAGACTTTTGACCCAAATACCCTAAAGTTCGAGATGTTCGGCACCTTACCGGTCCACACTTCGTATGGGGTTTTGTCATCTAGACTTTTCGTCGGAAGCCTGTTTCTAACATAGTTCGCGGTGTTAACCGCCTCTGCCCAGAATGAGTCAGGCAACCTGGCATCCAAGAGAAGACATCTTGCCGTTTCCAACAGTGTCCGGTTCTTCCTCTTCGCGACTCCATTCTGTTCCGGGTTGTAAGGAACGATCAACCGTCTGTTGATGCCTTTGGACTTAAGGTAAGCATTGAATTCGCCGCCCGTATATTCGCCTCCGTTATCGGACTGAAGGCACTTAACTGTCCGCACTTTTGATTTTCCATCAGCGTGATGAAATCCTTAGTCGCTTGAAGTGTATCGCTTTTGTATCTTAGGAAGCGAAGTTCTGTCCATCTCGACTTGTCATCGATGAATTCGATAAAGTACCTGGCCTTGCCTAGAGATTCGGTTCGCATGGGCCCACAAATATCAGTGTGTACCATATCCAACACCTCTGTGTTCCGATTCGACTTTTTGGGAAACGGGGTCCTTATCATCTTCCCCTGAAGACATGTCACGCACTCGAAGTTGCCACTGTTAGGTTTTAAGCGAACTCCACGTACGACATTTTGCGAAACGGCACTCAACAAATCCTTCGCGTTCGCGTGTCCTGATCGCTTATGCAACAGCTCAAGCGATATGATGCCATCGCTGTCGATCGGTTTCGAGAATGCTACGCGAGCGTTGTGCTCGTCTTCGCTTACAAAATATAAATCCCCGACCCTTTTGGCAACAAGGTGTATTTTACCTTTTGAGTCCGCAATTGTTGCCTCATTTTTCCGAAAATTCAGGCTGAAGCCCCGATCCGCGATTCTGCTCACCGAAAGAAGATTCGTCCGCAGATTAGGCACGAATAATGTCTCTTCAAGTGTCACCACAGTCTCTTTGCCGCGCACATTTGATTTGAACCGCACTAGTCCTTCGCCAGAAATGTCCGTTGTAGAGTTGTTAGCGAGATTTAAAGTTCCGCGATTACGTTCGTTAAGTTTTTCGAAACTTCGCGCGTCACAACACAAGTGCGCCCTCGCGCCACTGTCCAGGCACCATCTAGCGTCGGCGGAAAAGGTTAACCTGTCCTTTGAAGCGTTTAGACAGATATTTGCGAATTTCGCCCTGCCATTTTTGTTGTGGCTCCAACATTCCGCCGCTTTATGACCCTTCTTCTTACACTTAAAGCAGCGAATCTCTTTCCAGTCTTGCGCCATTCGTGCTGCCCCCATCTACTCTGTCCTTGTTTCGCCGCCACTGGTTTTTGGTTATCATTGCGTCAGAGGAGTTCTGTCGACCATTGCTGCCGCGCATGCTGTTCTTGCGCACGTCACTCTCTTCTACAATTTTAATACGCAGAATCTCGGGGGTGAGGAGTTCATCCCGCGATTCAATCGCGCATCGGAACATTTCGAAATTCGCGGGCAAGCTGTATAACAATAGAATTGCTAGATTGGGATTTATTGCGATCTCCATATCGCCAAGCTTGTCCACTGTATCAAAAAATTCGCGCAAATGCTCGCGCACGTCGCCGTTTTCAGGCATTTGTGTGTGACGTTTGTCTTCGTCATGGCTACGTCATCGCTGGCGCAGTCGCGCAGACTACTGCCGAACACGCATTCCATCTATGTTTCCTAACATGGTGAGTGGACCTTGTTGACGGGTTGCATTTGGAAGGCAGCGAGGGTTATCGGTAGACTCATAAGGTACTTAAAATGCGTTGTAAACGGGCATCATGTGGACACCTTTCTCCTGATGTCACGGTTGTGTTCGTTGTTTTTTGTTCATGTCACGCAGATGTATCCTTCGCTGTGTTGTTTCTTCATATCAGACTGTTTTGTTTTCTTCTTCCAATTCTTCAATGATATCTTGAGTCTGGACCACGTGTTCTTTATTTGGTGTTTATCGTTTATGTATTTTTAGTGGGGCCAAATTTGCCGCCATCGGACTAGAGTATCTGGCTCTAACCGGTAGTGTTGTTGTTCTTCTAAAGGTCAGTGGATTTTGTTTTGGTCTTTATGTACTTCTCCCGATTTGAATTGGTTTCTGGTGGTCCAGTTTTTCCAATTTTCTGTCTTGACTTTGCTTTTTTTGAGGCTGGAAATTACCCCTTCAATTATTCTGTAGTTTGTGCTATATATATCTAAGACGATTGATACATTTGAGTATTAGAAACTTGAAAGTATTTTTCCCATTCAGAATTCAAATTTTCTTCTGAAATTTGCTAGTGCACCTAGCTCGGCTCTCTTTATATGTATAACTTGGTTTGATGAGCGTCCAAACTAATTAATTTGATCAGGTGATCCTTATTTGGTAAAATTATTGGACCTCTTGAGTGTACGCAAGAAGCCATTGTTTTAGTCTTTCACTTACACGAAGTTCTCCATGTTTGTCTATAATAATAGACATAAAATTGACATTTTGTTCGGCTTTTTATTTACCTTCTTTTTGGGTAGTGTACTTAAGTCTTATGTCTTGAACACGTCTTGTTGTATGTGTATTAGAATTTGCTTGGTTTCTTTCCACAACTATTGGCCAACTGATGTTTTTTGTATCGGCATGAAGCGAACTGTTTTCATGAGTAAGGAATATCTTGTTCCCACTTTGACTGACCGAGTTTGATTAAATAATTTCACTTCTTCGGATAACCGCGGTAACTCGTTGGTTTCTCTCTTGGTATACGTCCCATTTTGCAGCCAATCCAGGTCCTTGGCATTAAAAATTTTCTGTTCTCTTAGTTTGGATGTTTTTGTTTCACTGGAATGTTTTTTTCGTGGTTTTCTTCGCATAATTTTTCATTACTGAGGATTTGTCGCGATGCTGGCGACTCTTCAATTTTCTCCAATTTTGCAGTTTGCTGATCTTCTATTTTTAGGATCATACTTTTTATATTCTCCCGCGCCTAGTAGTACATCAGTTGCACCCTTTTTTGGAAGACTGGATCCTCTTGATGCAAGTCGGCCTCACCGGAAGATAGATTTCGATGTCTTCTAACACAGATTGTGTAATTTTTGGTAGTACTAACAGTTCTATTTTGAGTGTAAAATCAGTCGGAAATCTTGGACTGCATTCTACAATTATTTTAGACTGCGTTTTTTTTTGGTGTTGCATCTTTCCAGCTTTTCCTGGGGCATTGTTAGAGCTGCTTCGGCATTGTTAATTATTGCTTGACCTTTTCGTACTTAATTTCACTCACCTGTTGGCCACAAAATACCTAAAATAAAAGTGTTCCCTTTAACTTAAATATCTAGCATTAAATTTACAATATTTTTAAGTAAAATAAGTTTCTTGAATAATATACAGCTTGGTTCACGGATCTTGTCATTGTAATACTAGCTGTCCTTTCAAGTTGGTTTGTAGTCAATAAATATGGTTTTCCTTGAAAACGGATTACTGAAAAATAAAAGCGTAGGTTCATGAAAATGAAGTGGGCAACCGACAGCGATAAAGGAGAATATTTCTTGAATAGGTTAGTAATATAAATTTTACGCCAGGTAAATCCGATTTTTGTCCCACACACAATAGACAGGAAAAACCATTGTTGCAGTTATAGAACCTTAGCCATGAAACTAAAACTTACATTTTAGAAAGCTGCAGATGTGTAAAAACTAAAATTTATTTCAAATTAAGAAAAAACCGTTTAGGCTAGATAAATCTGATTTTATAGTCCAGTCAAATTAGCGATCAACCTCGGAATGAGAGATAATAAGCTGAATTTTCGTATATACGTTCATTTTAGCGTTCTAAAAGTTGTCTCAAAAGTCTCATAAAATCTCGTGTCTGCGTCGTAAGTTATTCAAGGTCAAAGGTCAAGAAAAACAGTTTTTTGCGATTATCTCGGTTTCTATTGCTCCAATGATGTTAACATTTATTATCGTAATTGTAGAGCAGAAAATTTGGGACAAATTTTATTTGAAACATTTTTTCATGCGCTCAATCGTTTTTGAGATAGAGGGCAGTGAGCGCGCAGCGCTCGTCCATACGTACTGTAATGCAATCAACCGTGAATATCTGTGAATCCTGCCTTTAATTTTGAATAATTTGTATTATTTATCAGTTAATACATTGCATTTAATAACATTTTACATATTTTCAATACATTCATTTAATGATAATGAT